TGGGATAATATATATATATATATATATATATATATATATATATATATATATATATATAACATGAAATATACCATTTTAACTATTTTAAAGTTCAGTGGCATTAAGTAAATTCACATCGTAGTGCAACCATCACCACTATCAATTTCCAGAATGTTTTTATCATCCCAAACAGTAACTTTTTACCCATTTAATAATAAATATCCATTATCCCGTCCCCCCAGTCCCTGGTTTCCACCATTGTACTTTCTATCTCTATGAATTTTACTACTCTAGGTCCCTCATGCAAGGGGACTCATGAAACATTTGTCCTTTTTTGTCTGGCTTATTTCACTTAGCAAAATGTCTTCAAGGTTCATTCATGTTGTAGCATATATCAGAATTTCATTCTTTTTTTGTTAACTATCTTAACCATTTTAACTGTACAGTTTAGTAGCATTAAGTATATTCACATTGTTATGCAATGAATCAGGCTGAATGATATTCCATTGTATGTATATACCACATTTTGTTTGTCCGTTCATCCACCAATGAACGTTTAGATTGTTTCTACCTTTTGGCTGTTATGAATAATAATGCTGTGAATTTTGGTGTTCTCCGCTCTTTTTTCTTTCACGTCTTTTAAAGATTGTCTGTAGAACTCTTAATTTAAGCTCATTTTTACCTGTAAACAAAATAAACTTCTAGCACATCATGAATGTTAAAAATAATTCTTAAGTCTAAATCTCATTAAATCAAGTGAGATTATTTGGTGTAGGAGGGAGGTTTAACTATGGGGGATATGAATGGAAATAATTAGCTAGAAATTGTTTTTATTTGTTCAAGGAAATAACCAGCAAGTGCCTGTCAAGAATGAAGTAGATAATTGTGAAACTTTGAAGAAGGTTGAAACAAAGTCTGCCTCAGAAAAAAAGATTCAGAAAGCATCTAAAGAAGATATGTGTCCTGAGAAACAGGACATACCTTCAATGGAGGTCTGTATTCCTTTTTTTCTTGCCTCTTAAAAAGAACAAAACCCATTTTTAGGGCTTAGAGAGAAAATATCTGTGTAACATTATACACATATATTTTATACTTTTTAATGCATTTGAATCCATATTGACAAGTGGTGGTTTTGATGTGTTCATTTACAAAGTTTTATTTATCTTCTAATTATATAGGTGATATTAAAATAGTTTTTAGTGACACCAGATAGCTTTCACTCTCAAGAGGAACTATTCTTAAGCAAATGGGTTAACTCCTAGGTAACAATGGTAGAGTAGGTCACATATCCTTTCTATCCATTTGTTACCCAATATCCATTTTTTTTTTTTTCTTTTTGTCTTTTTTACTGACCAGTAACGGGATCGCAACCCTTGGTGTCGCGCCCGTACCGGGGACTGGCAATGGGATCGCAACCCTCAGTGTTGCACCTGCACCGCGCTCTGCCAGTGAGCGGGAACCGGTCTCCACATGGGATCCAAACCCTCAGCGGGAGCGCCGCCGCGCTCCCAAGTGGCGCACTCTCCAGTGCGCCACCGGGCCGGCCCATCCCAATATCCATTTTTTAAGGCATAGTCTTGCTGAGTTGGATTGCTTTTTGTCTTTCTTTTTCCCCATATCTATCATCATCTTCTCTCTAAAAGATTAAAAAGTATTAATGATACAATAGAAGAAAATTCCTGATATGAGGGAAGAACTAAATTTGTAGATCAAAAGGGCACATTGTGTACAAGTGGAAAAACTGATGCATAATAACAGACACAGGCACATCCTAGTTAGATTAATTGAACTTAAAACATAAAGAGTTATGTAGACACAAGCAAGTCAAGAAACATAGACTTAAGCTTGTCTCAGACTTCTCCATAGGAATATCTAATGCCAGAAAACAGTGGAGCAATATCAAGAGAATGAAGACGTAAACAGAGAATCTTGTGTCTAGCCAAGTTGGCACTCAGGTACAAAGGCAACAGGCAGACTTGCTTAACCACAAATGAACTCATGAGCCTTTCTTGAAAAATCAAATTAATGAAATTTAGCCAACCAAGACAGAAGTAAAAATAAGGACTCAGGATTGAAGAAGCCGTGATAAGTGTCTGTTGTTCAGGTTTCGATCTGTTTCATACCCAGAGCTAAGACTAAACAATTGGTGATTATAGCCACAGAACAGATTGCAAATATTAAAACTTTAACAAAGTAAAAACAATAACATAAGCTGCAAAAGATAGGTGGGTTTGTGAGGTAGGTGAAAACAAGTTTTAATTTTAATCTTTCTTGGTAGAGAGCCAGTACTATGTAAAAGAGAAATGTAGTTTAAAAGGGTGATAACTTAAGAAAATATTTTTTTATAATCTCTTTCTTAACCTTAGAGAATTCTTTAAGGAAATAATATATAATGTGTGGAAGAAACAATAATTTGAAAGTTGGCAGTTCCCTTGGTTCTACTTTAGTTTCTTTTTCTTATGTTAAATTCATATAAAACTGAACCCTACATTTTTATTTAAAAATAATACATGGTCTTGGTGGCATAAATTATTCCTATTGGCACCCACAAATGTGGCAGATGGCTGTCGACAGGGATTATTTATAACACCCATCTGCCACTTTCATGGGTGCCATTCCTCTGTCTCAAAGTCTGCCCCAGCCCCGACGTCTTCCCTGGCTCCCCATGCAGACTTAACACTCTATGCTTGTGCCCTTTGTGCTAGCAGTTTTCTCAAATTATTAGTTATTTTCTTCTCATCATGTGTTTGCCATTAGATCCCCGGGGGCATGGGCCTTCCCTTTTATCTCTGTTTCTGGAGCTCAGACAGTCTCGCACTTGGTCTCAGTGGTTATAGAAGGTTCTTCTTCCTTTTCTGGCCTGTGAGCTTAGGTAGGACAGGTCTGTACCTAATTCTGGTAGCCGCTCAACAATAAGGATGCCCGTCCAAGGGATTTGGGGAACTGAGGCTGAACTTTGTGGCCTAAGGTTGTCCCTAACCAAATTAACCAGGATAGATTTTCTGGTGCAGATTTGGGGGCTGTAGTTTGTCATTTCTTTGCTGTCTCTGTGACTCACTCCGTGTTTTGTAGAACTGTTCTTTAAAATCCCATGAGTGTACTTTCCACTTCATTGTTCATTTGGAGAAAATCATTCTCAGTAAACACATTCCCAAGTGCAGTACTCAATGTTTGTTTTTCTTGCACATTCTTAGGCCCTAAATTTGCAGCTTAGAAAATAGTATAAATCTGTCTATATACTACATGAGGAACATTCCTCTAGATTTATTGGCAAGGAAGGTTGAAGCCCGAGTTTGGAATACACAAACTAAGTTTTAACCCTAGCTCTGGCTTTTTATTTTCTTTTAAGCAGACTTTTTTTCCCTTAGAAAAGTAATTTATGATTATCATAGAAACTTAAAGAAGAAGAGGGGAAGAGATCTGTGTAATATGAACCACTTTTAATATTTTCTGTATTCTGTACCTTTTCAGTGCAAATTTTAAAAAACATTATCTTAAAATAGTTAAGATAATAGCTATTATCATTGTGTAAATATAGCTTCTTTTAATGTTATAATTCTCATTTTCTCATGTCGTTAAAAATTAGTGGGGAACGTTGTTTTCAGTGGTTGCATAACATTTCTTCATTTAATGATGCCATAATTTAAATCATTCTTCTGCAGTTGGACATTAAGGTTGTTGTCAACTTTTTACTGTCATAAATCTGTGATGAACAGTGTTGGTCACTCTTTCCTATGTACCTGATATGTCCTTGTTATAGATATCTAGAAATAGAATTAAAGGGTATCAACTATTTCAGGCTCCTCAGGCGTGATGCCAGTGAGCTTAGGAAAGTTGGGACCGACTCACGTTCACATGCATGGTATATGAGAATGCTGGTTTCATTCTCCTCTCTGCAGCATCAATTGTTTGCAAAATCTTGATCAGTGTGATAGGTGACCAATCATGTTTTGGTTTTCATTTCTGTTTACATCTTACTAGGGAAAGGTGAGCATTTTCCTTCATTTCATTCTTTATAAAATTCTGAAAAAAACATAAAGGAAAAAAGAAAATCATCCATCCCAAATCCTGCCACTGAAAAGAAATTCTATAAATTAAGAAGTAGACGTCCAACCTAGTTTTGCTTCCGCAGCTAGCATCCTGCTTCCCCAGCTGTTTCCTAGTGTTTGCAGGCATAAACACTCATTATAAACACATCTGTGTTTTCTAAAACCAAAATGGAAAGATGAGATACAAGCTAGGCTATAATTTCCCTTCCCTAAGAACATATTTTAATATGAAACATTTTGGATGAACTCTTCATGATTTTTTGCCTTTTATATTTCTTTTGTGAATTTGTGTTTCAAGTCCTTTTTTTTTGCCTGCTTTTCTATTGAATGTCAGTGTTTTTTTCTTATTTTCTTTATGAACGCTTTATATGTAGAGGTATTAACTCTTTATCAGATATTGTATATTGTATTTTTTTCTTAGTTCACCCTTTCCCTCTTATTGTTTGCTCTTACTTATATATAGTAGCTTTAAGAATGCCTTTGTGCAGTCAATCTGTGCTTTCTTTTTTTTGACTTCTTCCTTTGCTTTTATCAGTGTTTAGGGAATCTTTCTCCGTGCTGCCATCAGTGAAATCGTCACCTCCATCAGGAAGATCAGAGAACTGAATTAGTTCAGTAGTTCAACAATAATGATAATAGCTAAGTCTCATAAAGTGCCTACTGTGTGCCAACTAATTGAATCCTCACAGCAGCCCTTTGAGGAACACCAGGAAGCTGAGGCAGGGAGGAGGCTAAATAACTTGTCCAAGATCACACCACTAGTGAGCAAAGAGTGAGATTCAGATGAAGCAGTTTGGCCTCAGAGGCTGTGATCTTAATTGCAACTCTGCATGAACTCTTTCTTTTCTTTTCTTTTCTTTTTTTTCCTTTTTGTCTTTTTTCATGACCGGCAACGGATCGCAACCCTCAGTGTCGCGCCCGTACCGGACCGGGACCGGCCACGGGATCGCAACCCTCGGTGTTGCTCCCGCCCCTCGCTCAGCCAGTGAGCGGCCGGTCTGTATCCGAACCCTCAGTGGGAGCGCCACCACGCTTCTCAAGCGGCGCACTATAGCAGTGCGCCACCGGGCCGGCCCTACATGGACTCTTTCAATTTCCTGGTTAGTCCTGCTTCCCTCTCTGTGGGACCCTCTATACCAGAAAGCAAAAAACCAGAATGTGCCTTTACTCTTCGTATTTACTCTTCATGTTTC